ATAAAGTTATTTTTTTAAATTTATGTCAAATAATTCTAATAGCTGGGTTACCTATGGCCTATTTATATTATCTTTTTTCTTTCTTAGTCTTGGTTCTTGAAATGTCTAGTAATTGCTGCTTGAATGTTGAGCATTTTATAAAAAATTATAGTCTCTGGATGATTTTATTTTTCTCTACAGAAGATTCATGTTATCTTTTCTGCAAGTAGCTAGAGTAGGAGGAGACAACATCTATCCAATCTAGCACTTAGCTTATCGGAGATCAAGTTGGAGTTTCGTAAGGTTTGGTCTATCACATGTTTGCCTCTTCTCCTGGGGATATAGATCTTCAGAGGCCCAAATGAGAGCCTTTTAGACATCTACTAGAACGCCTCCTTCTTGGTGGGTCCTAAACTTGAGACCAAAAAGCTTTTGCTTTTCTTTATAACTATCCTTTCATCTTTAGGCAGTTTAAGAATTAGCAAATTCCTTAATGTGAACTCAAGTACTAGGTGTGGGGCTCATTTTCTTCCACCACCCTTAAGTAAGGATTCTGCCACTCAAACCCTGGCTGTCTTGTTAGCTCTGAACTCCTTTTAAGTGCTTTTCACATTATAAGGTGGCTTTAACATCGAGATTGTATGGAGAAGCTCATATAATACCCAAAATTACAAAATATACTGAAGTTTCACTGTTCTCTGACTGAAAGGAATAACATATATGGTGTTATTATGTTATTCCCTCCTCCTCCTTGGAGGCATCTACATCTAGGAAGCTGTACCTTAATCCTCCCGGAACACCCCTGGCATTGTTATGATGACATATGTAAACAGTTTTGCAAATAGTTGTACAAGATGAAAGAGTAAACATTTCTCCCCCCCTGAATTTGCATTTTTTCCCAGTAAAATATAACAATAATAGTCATGATAATATTCATAAAAATTTACTAGAGATTTACTGTGGACCAGGTTCCATGTTGGATATTATATATATACTAGAGGCCCAGTGCACAAAATTTGTGCATAGGTAGGTTCCCTAGGCCTGGCCGGTGATCAGGGCTGATCTGTGGGGTGACGGTGGGGTGATCAGGGGGCCCCCACTAGCACCCGCCTTGGCCAGCCTGGTGCCACCTGCTCGACAGCCTCGCCCCCTGCTGCCACCACCAGTCACCTCCCTCTGCAGGGTGACCGGTGGGGCAATGGCGGGGGAGCCGCTGGCACCTGCCTTGGCTGGCCTGGGACCTGCAGGCTGGGGGAAGCTCCTGTGTTGAGTGTCTGCTCCCTGGTGGGCAGTGCGTGTCATAGCAACTGGTCGTTCCGCCGTTTGGTCGATTTGCATATTTGGCTTTTATTATATAGGATTATATCATTTAATCCTTGGAAGAGCCTATAACAGGGGTGGGCAAACTTTTTGACTTGAGGGCCACAATGGGTTCTTAAACTGGACCGGAGGGCCGGAACAAAAGCATGGATGAAGTGTTTGTGTGAACTAATATAAATTCAAAGTAAACATCATTACATAAAAGTGTCATAGCAACTGGTCGTTCCGCCGTTTGGTCGATTTGCATATTAGGCTTTTATTATATAGGATTATATCATTTAATCCTTGGAAGAGCCTATAAGGTAGAAAACATAATTATTTCTACTTCACACTTGAGGAAACTGAAGCTTAAAGAGGTTAAGTGTACTTAAACAAAGTCCCAGAGCTGGGAAGTAAATGGCACAAGTAAGTTTAAACTTGGATTATTCTAATCTCAAGGTCTGTGACCTTTTCCAACATTTTGTCCTGCCTCAACTGGCCCTCTTTCAACATAGCATAGTTTCATGAGTTTACTGAGTCCTAGAATTCTGAGATATTTCCTTAAATAAGGTAAGAACTCTGTCATCTGAGGGGGTTTGCATGCAATAAATCTCCTTCCTGGGACCTTTTTTTCAGGTATTTCCAGATCCTTTCCTCCCCGAAATCAACCTTTCTTTGATATACATTTTACATTAAATACTTCCACTTATAATTTCTATGGCAAGTCTAAAAGTAATTCTTTTTAAAAAGTGAAGCTTTTTTGCAGGAAAAGGAAGCAATTAGTGATGGGGCTTTATTTTTGGAGGATGAGATTGGTGGGGGGCGGGGTCTGAGGAGAAATTGCTTTCTGCGTGTCACATGAATGAGTTATAGGAAATGGGACTCAGCCTGCAGTTTGGCACTTGCCAATGAGTCAGCAGTGAGTTCACCCTCAATGTCAATGCTGGAATCAAGCTGTGACAGACACTGCTCCAGGTGAGGCCACTCGCTGCCTGGCTGTCTGGGGCCTCGAGGCTCTGCCTACATGAAGTGAGCCATTCAGTTACCAGTCCTGGTGAAGAAAGATTCACAGAACTGTCTTCTTGTCTTCACACAGTTATTTCTAAGTTTCTTCAGGAGTGGTTGCTGTTTCTTAATTTTCCCCAATACCCTGCAAAAAAATCCAGTGATTTGACTTCAGAGAATGAAGCTTGGGATTAATGTCATAACCGAATTTGGTTCTGAGGGCAACACTTTTGTATTTTTATACTGCTTCAACTCTCTGGGGTCTTTATAAATGGCAAGACACTCTGGAAAAGCCGGATGGGAAGACGCTGCTTCAGGAGAAGTGGTAGGTTGAAAGAGGTCATCTTCCGTGATTGAAAATAGGTGCATGTGGCAAGAAGACTAGAACCAAGTCAGCATTGTTGTTGGGTTAGGATGATAAGATTGTTGGTTTTTATTTTTTACTTGCCTTTCCAGGTTTGATAAGGGCTCAAATTGTAAAATTTATTCTAAAAATAACCCTTAATATTTTAAAATAACTATTCATTTGGGGGAGGAGGGGAGAAATGGCCAAACAGCTTTAATATCCTTTTCCCAGACCCTTCTCTGACTCTTAGGATCATCCTGGTCATATGCATGGTGTCCAGTAAAATATGGGTAAGAACACCCAGCTGGCATGGCTCAGTGGTTGAGCGTTGTCCTATGAACCAGGAGGTCATGGTTCCATCCAGGTCAGGGAACATGCCCAGGTTGTAGGCTCAATCCCCAGTGTGTGGCATGCAGGAGGCTGCCGATCAATGATTCTTTCTCATCATTGATGTTTCTATCTCTCTCTTCCTCTCCCTTCCTCTCTGAAGTCAATAAAAATATATATTTTTTTTTAAATGGGTAAGAAGGACTAACTGCTCAGAATCTGTTTACGCCCGGCATTTAGTTCTTTTTTATTCTATGGAGAAGGTGTTATTATCCACACATTAGAGATAAGGAAGCTAATGCTCAAAGAGATTAAAGAACCTTTCCTGTGTCAATCAGCTAGTAAGTGATGGAGTTCCAACAAGTCAGAATGCCAGCAAAGCCCACACTCTTTCAACTGAGTACAAAATGATGCTGCCCAGATCCTGCTAACTTACTGTTGGATTAATTATTCATTAAGAAAAATTGTATTGCAATATTTTTTTCTTTTTGTGTAAAAGTAGGATTCTAAAATTCACATAGACTTGGCTTTTGACTTTAGGGAAATATAAATATTGAAAGCATAGCATAGCATACATGTGCATCAGTGTGCTGGACATTAAGATGATAAAAGAGGCATAGTAAGTACCTGGTTGAGTGTTTGGACTCCCCCAGAATTTGAAGTGATTCGCATCCTCTCCCCTAAAGTTCTTGGATTTATGAAACTGAAGATAAGTCTTAATGTTTTCCAGTTTGGTACAGTAGTTGTAAGTCACAATTTTGGTCGAGGAAGGAGTATTGTTATTGCAAAGTGGAGCATTTACAGTTTCACAAAAATACCCATCCTGTTGTCCCAGCAGGGCCCTAATTTATATTTTTAATAAATGGATACCATTTAAAGATTTTTAAAAATTGACATCTAATATTATACTATGCTGTAATTTTAGTTGAGATATTGACATACAATATATTACACATATGCAAATGTACATTTTGATAACACTTAACATATGCATACACCTGTGAACACCATTTCAATAAAAATAACAAATGTATTTATTATCCCCAAAAGATGTTTTGTAATGCTATAATGAAGAAAAAACCATCATCTAATTCGATGAAAGGAGCCTAGAGGGGACTCAGGTGATGTGAGTCTGGACTGGACTGGACTCATTTCCTAAATAGCTCCATGAAATTCCGTGCGTCCCTTCATTTTTCCAGCCCTTAGTTTTCTCATCTGAAAAATGAGGAGGTTGGACTAGATGGTCCCTAAGGCCCCCTATGGTTCTAAAGTTCAATAAAGCTTAGAGGACAGACGTACTTAGCGTATTGGTTTGTGTCCAAATGGTTTTATGTAAATATGTAGACATCCCCAGTGGTCTGGCGGCAGCTGTGCTGTTTCATCCCTGCCCTGCTTTGCTTGATGGATTGATCGAGAAATCATTTAATTTCTTTTCATACTCTTTCACCCTGATTCAAGGTCATTCATGCCATTGCTTCTTGTTGGCGTTACTAAGCTTGAGGGACTGTTCTACTTAAGAATTTTGGGCTAAGGCTTGAACAATGCTGGGAATTTGGCAATGCCTTCAGCAGCGATCAGATGAGGGGACAGGACCATCAGCTCTCCAGCTCTTTGGGAAGCAGCCTGTGCATCCAACGAGGGGCAGAGGCAAGCTGTACTGGATGTATTTCAGGGCTGGGGGCAGGGAAGCAGATTGGAGTTTAATTAAAATTCTAATCCCAACATTGCCCATCTTCTTGCCAAGTCAGCAGCCAGCATTTCTGTTGGTGGTTCCGGGGATTTTGCTGTGATGCCATACATAGTTACCTCAAAAACTCTTGCAAATGTACCTAAAACTTCCATATGCTCACCAGATGCTGTAATCAGGCCTGGCACGCTGCCATCTTTTGCCTGTGTTTTCAGAGATATCTCCTTCACCGCGGCCAGGGCTCCTGGTGGGAGGAGGGCATTGGAGAGAGCTGGTGGTGAAGACTGAGCTGATTACAAATAAGAAAACAGGTTCATCCCAGCACAGAGGTCTTTCCAAACTCTTCCTGTTTTCTAGGTAGTTAAGTGGGATTTCTGAGGAGGGGCTGCTCTGACTTGACCTTGGCCCACCATGAGGTTCTTCCTGCTTTGTGCCTACATGCTGCTCCTGATGATCTCCCAGCTGAGGGCAGTCAGCTTTCCTGAGGATGATGAGCCCCTTAATACTGTTGACTATCACTGTAAGTAATCTACAGAACATTCTCCTTTTCTAGGAAGGAAGCTTTTTTGGTTTTGATTTTTCTAAGTGTTATTCGCTTTTAGAAAGAGATTTTATATGCCTTAAACATGTTTTGCCTATTAATTTATCCATAGTTGTGTTCGGAAAAATGGGACAGTTTTGTTGGGTGCTTTTCTATAACAGCCCATATACAGGTTATGTATTTTCTGTTAAAAGAAAAAGACAATTTGCTGACATTTACCGGCTTTGATTCATTTATATTCAAGACCCGAAGAGAGGAATTTAGTTAAAACCCTTCTACAACTAGTATATACAGCTAATCAATGCTGTCTATTGATTCTTTAGCTCCGTAATCCTGACTGATGGTTTAGCCCATTTTCACTTGCAGATTCAAGGCAATATCCGGTTTTTAGAGGACGCCCTTCAGGCAATGAATCGCAGCACCGGCTGGACTTTCAGCTGATGTTGAAAATTCGAGACACACTTTATATTGCTGGCAGGTAATTTTCCTCTCGTTGGTTTATTAGATTAAAATTCTTTTCTCTCGTGGTGCTTGCATTAATGTGTCTAGTTCATGAAAAACTAATATGTGATTGTGATCAAAAATTGCAAGTGGCCAAAAATATTCACAGAGAAAAGCCAGTGCTGTGTGCCAGGAACAAAACACAGAGCAGCAACCTTCAGCGCTGCTGTTTTATTACTGACATCAAGAAATCATACATCGCTCTTTATTCCTAAAGCAGCAGGGGGGATCTTTCTTTATTCTTTTTTAACTTGGAATTATTCGAGCAAATATTAGAAGTATGTCTATGCTAATGCTAGTAGCAGTTTGACCCACGCCTGAGGAGAAGAGCTTTCTTTGCTCCCTAACCACAGTGATATATAAAAGCTTCCCACTAATGAAAAAGTACCCTTTGTTGACTTTGCTGGAGACAGAGAAAATCCAAATGATCTCCAAAACACAATAAAGGCAGATCTGTAAAAATAAAATAAGAAGCGACTTAACATTTTTATGCATTCACATGCTATGACTTACGGCCTTGTTTCCAACAGGGATCAAGTTTATACAGTAAACTTAAATGAAATCCCCAAAACAGAAGTAATACCGAGCAAGGTAAGCTAGTGTCGTTGGCAAATTTACTTGCATTCCCTCAGAACTTGGATAATGCCCCCCTCCCCTCCCAGAATTTTCATACTTCAAAACTGAGCTTTGGTTTTGCTTGGTTAATTGCAGAAACTGACATGGCGGTCAAAGCAACAGGATCGAGAGAACTGTGCTATGAAAGGCAAACATAAAGTAAGTAAAGCAGACAAGTGCCTGCTCCGTTGTGTCTTTCTGTAGTCTTGATCCCATAATGTCAGAGTATAGAATGTCTAATATTAATGTAATTACTACTTTCTGTAGGATGAATGCCACAACTTTATCAAAGTATTTGTCCCAAGAAACGACGAGATGGTTTTTGTATGTGGTACCAACGCATTTAATCCCATTTGTAGATTCTACAGGGTAAGTATATTTTATATGTTGTGCTTTTTTTCATCAATTTTCCTTTCTTCACTAATATGCTGTCAAAGTTGAATCCTTTCTGCTATAACCTAGTAATTTGTTTTATGGCTAATGCTATGGAAGAATAAAGACAGAATTCTTCAAATAGAATTTCAGTACAAATAAAGCAGTATTGCCTTCAAACGGGTACATTGAACAGATTTGACACCAACTATTTATTTTTCTTTTGTAGTTGAATACCTTAGAGTATGATGGGGAAGACATTAGTGGCCTGGCAAGATGCCCATTTGATGCCAAACAAACCAATGTTGCCCTTTTTGCTGGTAAGGTTCTTTAGCATAATGAATATAAATGATTAATGACATTGAAGGTGCAGAAGGAATTTAACGGAAGAAAAAGAACTCATAACTAGGATAGCGACCTTGGAATTGGTGTTTCAAAATCTAAAAATGATGAAAATTTTTTCCAAAAAATAATTGAAAGTAGGCATATTATAATATAGTATTCTGACACTTGGTTCTGTTGCTAACTAGGCCAGTGACCCTGAATAAATTGCTTGACTTTTTGATGCTTAGTTTCCTCATCTGTAAAATTAGGTAATACTATGGGCCAACCTGTCACAGGTTGCTTATGAGCATCACGTTTAGCTTTATTTCTGTATATGGGGATAACAGATGAAAGCGCTCCAAAGAGTATACCACACTACAAAGGGCAACGCACTACAGGGTAATTGTGGTTATTTTACTCAAATTATAACTTTGGTTTCAGATGGGAAGCTATATTCTGCCACGGTGGCTGACTTCTTGGCCAGTGATGCTGTTATTTACCGAAGCATGGGCGATGGATCTGCCCTTCGCACAATAAAATATGATTCCAAATGGATAAAAGGTAACTTTGAAGAGCAGTGCTGTGGGATCGCCAAGGGGAGTGGGATGGCTGAGTGGGAACATGAGCTCTGGTCATCAGGAAATTCTGTGCATGACTTTATATTGTTTATTTAGAGCAAGGATGAGTTCCTTTGGTTGTGAATAGCGGCATTGACAAGGGATGAAGAGACCCATAGCCAAGGCAAGAAAGTAGACTCATCCAGGATTTTGTCTTAGGTGACTTAAAAAGAAATCCCATTTCAGTGTGCCAATTTGCGGAACTCACAATGTGCATGATACTCCTTGCCCACGCTCATCTACTTATCCTGGAAAGGTAACAACAGTGAGAGTCGATTAGGTCATATCTGCAGAGTCACTCTGTTCTTTTGAGTCTAGAAATCAAGATTTTTTAATTCTCAACATGAGAGGTTTCCTTCCCTAGTTAAATAGGTTAATGAATAAATCTGTTGAAACAAAGACCTTTGCCATGGTTCAGTTCCCGGTAGGCTTTTTACAGTCCATTAGCTGACATTAAAGACTCCGTGTCCCCTGGAGCTTCAGCTCACCCATGTCGGGGCTCCTCAAATTCGTTGGCGTGTCTGAGTTCCCATTGGCGTGAATGTAGCTACGTGACATCTGTCAGTCATGCCTAGCAGTCAGGGTCAGACACTAATTGAATTACCTTTTAAGAACCAGTTTGTTTCTCATTTTCTTACAGAACCACACTTTCTTCATGCCATAGAATATGGAAACTATGTCTATTTCTTCTTTCGAGAGATTGCTGTGGAACATAATAACTTAGGCAAGGCAAGTATATGCGCTTGACTTGTATGGTGGACTTGTGCATGGAATTGAGCCCACATTGGTAGAGATAGGGCCTTTGCATGTTTTTCTCACTATGTTTAGGGCCAAGTGAAGAGAGATGGGCAGCTTATCATGAGAATAATTGCTGAGCAATGGCTTGGGTGGGAACAGCAGCCTCGGGCCTTGAGAAGACTTCATGTTTCCTGGCTCTGCAGGCACCCTTGAGCTGTGGATGCTTCTTTAACTCTTTAGCCATCCATTGATAGTTCAGTGCTTCCCTGTGTCAGAGGCAGGATGGGAAGCAGAGGCCCTTGTTTAGTTTTGGGTGCTTCGGTAAAAGCCCATATGAGTTTAAAGTATTGCCCCCCCTTCCGGGCCAGGCTTAAGGAGGGCACACTTCATTAGCAACGTGAGAAGCAAAGTGGGAGACCAAGTGCGGGAATGGTTTCCATTCAGCCAGGTCAGTGGCTCACTGCTAAGGGAGCTTTTTTGGCAGAACAGGTCAATGGCCCCTTTTCTCACAGGCGAATCTAGTTTACACCCCTAGTCTACTGCTCCCTAGAGAGAAGACTGCTAGATTCTTTTGAACCAGATACATCTTTAGCTTTTCTTGTCCCTCCCATGCATAGCAGCTTTGGTTTTCATTCCCCTCCCCTTCCTCTGCTTTGTCCCTCGGGCAGGCTGTCTATTCCCGTGTGGCCCGCATATGTAAGAACGACATGGGTGGCTCCCAGCGGGTCCTGGAGAAACACTGGACTTCGTTTCTGAAGGCTCGGCTTAACTGCTCCGTCCCTGGGGATTCGTTTTTCTACTTCGATGTCCTGCAGTCTATTACAAATATAATGCAAATCAATGGCATCCCCACGGTGGTCGGGGTGTTCACCACACAGCTCAACAGGTGAGAACACAGCCCTGGCAACTCAAAAGACCTTCTGTCCTTGCTGGTGGGACCCACGAATAGGCCCGTTGTGGCCTGACGGTTTTTCTGATGGTTTTCCCCTTTTTCAGTATTCCTGGGTCTGCTGTCTGTGCATTTAGCATGGATGACATTGAGAAAGTATTCAAAGGACGATTTAAAGAACAGAAAACTCCAGATTCTGTTTGGACAGCAGTCCCCGAAGACAAAGTACCAACACCAAGGTAAAGAAAAAGGGTGGAAAGGGATTTTTGTCTTTAACAAAACCATCTGGCCACTGGAAGCATCCATCTTCACTGAGCAGCTGGGCCAGCTTCCCACGCGGGGAGGGGTCGCTGTGCAGGACTACACAGGAGTCAGTCCCACAGTCCTGTGAGCCGGTGGAGAACCCACCCGAGTCAGGGAAATAGCTTTGCTCTCTGGGTGCCGCTCTCTCTTCTTTTTCTCTTGACCTCTTCTTTCAGAATGGACACTTATTCCTTAGATACCATTGATGATGTGGGGGAAACACACACTGTTTTCCTTGCAGGCCTGGCTGTTGTGCAAAGCATGGCCTTGCTGAAGATTATGAAACCTCTATCGGTTTCCCGGATGAAACCCTGCTGTTCATCAAATCCCACCCCCTGATGGACTCTGCCGTCCCACCCATTGCAGAGGAGCCCTGGTTCACAAAGACTCGGATCAGGTAAGGCTATGCAGACATGGCGGCCCCTCCCACTCACACCTGCTCTTCCTGTTGGCCTCTTCCTCTGACCTGGCTCACCTCCTCCCGCAGGTACAGGCTGACAGCCATTGCCGTGGACCATTCCGCCGGACCCCACCAGAACTACACTGTCATCTTTGTTGGCTCAGAAGCTGGCGTGGTACTTAAAATTTTGGCAAAGACCAGTTCTTTCTCTCTGAATGACAGCGTATTACTGGAAGAGATTGAAGCATACAACCATGCAAAGTAGGTATATTTTACGAGAATACTCTTCAGCACTGCTCAAAAATTTCCGGACTTTATTTCATCTAGTCATTTCCTTCCAGCCCTCTGAATTAGCAGTGGTTTGGCATATTAGTGTTTTGGGTTTTGTTGTTTTTTTTCTCTCACTGAAATAAATCCTGGCTTTGTTTTCTTCCTGAGTCCACTGGAGCTTGGAGGTGGGCAGTTGATGAGTTTAAAAATAATCCAGCCCTTGTATTTCACTTGTGGAAGATGAGAGCATTTCAGCACCACCCATCCTACCTTGTAGATCAATTTCAGGATGCTACACACAGCAGACAGTGGCAAGCACACACACATACACAGGCACAAACAGAATGTAATTCTTCTAACCACTGGTAGACAAGATTATTTAGACCATTAAAACAGTCAAGAAATAGATGAGAGAAATGGAGCAAAAGAGACTAAGGGGAAACATCTAGCACAGGAAGATTTAACGACATTAAAACATTATCTTTTTTTCCTCTACAGTCCAACATGGTCTTCACAAATATAATTCCCTTCAATCATCAGAACGGGAAAGCAATCTTAAAAAACGCTTTATCCTTCTGAAATGTAACCAAACATGTATAGCACTAGAAGATGAATCACAGGATTATTATTTCCCAAACTATGTACTTGCTTAGTTTGCTACCTAGAATATTCCTTACGACCTCCCCAGCTCTCAGTAATTGCAAAAATCAAACCTCTGCCCTGACCGGTTTGGCTCAGTGGATAGAGCGTCGGCCTACAGACTGAAGGGTCCCAGGTTCGATTCCGGTCAAGGGAATATACCTTGGTTGTGGGCACATCCCCAATAGGGGGTGTGCAGGAGGCAGCTGATCGATGTTTCTCTCTCATCGATGTTTCTAACTCTCTATCCCTCTCCGTTCCTCTCTGTAAAAAAACAATAAAATATATTTTTTAAAAAATCAAACCTCACTTGCTCTGTATAGTTCATGTAGCTTTTGACTTACTAAACGTATGGCTTCAAAACGTATCCCACACGACAGGTGTAATCCTGAGAACGAGGAGGACAGAAAGGTCATCTCATTACAGCTGGATAAAGATCACCACACTTTGTATGTGGCATTCTCGAGCTGCGTAATCCGCATGCCCCTCAGCCGCTGCGAGCGTTATGGATCATGTAAAAAGTAAGCTGATGTTTCTGTTCTTACCCTGGGGTCGTGCAGCATTAAGACCTTTGATGACAAGAAAATCCAAGTTTCATTCTGTTTGGTTTTGCGCAGGTCTTGTATTGCATCTCGAGACCCCTACTGTGGCTGGTTAAGCCAGGGGACCTGTGGTAGAGTCACCTCAGGGATGCTGTAAGTATACTTTGCCACATTAGCCAAGAGCTCCACACCTGCTCCGATCTTCCCCAGGGTCTGCAAAGCTAGAAATTTTAGAAAACTTCCAAAAACACTACTCTCCCTTCCCCCCTGTTTTTGTTTTTAGGGGAGAGTATTTTTTTTTTAAAAAAAAGGAAAATCTGGAACAGTGAGAGGGAAGGGAGATTATAGACAGCGAAATACCTAAGGGAAATAGGCAGTTCTCTTCTGCTCTCCTAAACATTCCAGTTACCAAATGTTTCACAGAAATACTCCAGTTAGCAAGCTCTGCTGAAATGTCCATTTTTTCCCCTTTCTGCCTATTCCTACTACTAATCGATGTATGTTCTTGGTTCTGCTCTGATTGTCACTTGTGTGCCTGTGCAGGCTGTTAACCAAAGACTCCTTTGTTTTCCATCACCACAGCGCTGGAGGATACGAACAGGACACGGAATACGGCAACACGGCCCACCTCGGGGACTGCGATGGTAAGACGGAATCGCCCTTGCCCTCGGCCCTTCTTTTTGACCACATTTGCACGTGAACATTATTTTACAACGAGCCTTTTAATGATTCAGGACACATACCACCTAGCATTTAACTTAAACTTCGCAAAAGCTGAGCTGTTTGGTCATGGGGATACATTAGAGAAGCATCTTACTTTTTTTTTTTTCCTTAGAGAATCTTACTTTTTTTCTTTTCTTTTTTCTTTACCATTTACAATTTTGTAGGAAATCTAGAGAAAGGTAGTCTAACCAGTAGGTTAATCTTTTCATTTGTAGCCTTTCCTTTCGACTTTTTTAGTTAATTGGAATTCATAAATTTTTGCTTTCTTTTGGTTACTTTTTTACTGATTACTTGTTCCTTTAATTCTTTTAGAAATTTTGCCTACTTCAACTACACCAGATTACAAAATATTTGGCGGTCCAACATCTGGTTAGTTTTTTTAATTTTTTTGAATTAACAACCTTTTCTTTCCTTCAGTTCGGCATTTTCAGCCCCTTCTCCCCTCCTTTTGCGCAGTTTGGCAGCCCTTCATTTTTGTGCTTTGACTCATAACCCCACTGATGGTACCAAAAGACTTTTTCTGACTCAGTACTTCACCCTGTGGAGCATGTGAACAGTCCATCATTGGCCAAGGCACATCCTCTAAGGAAAATCAAATGGGTTCACATAGACTGCATTCCAGCTGCACGCGGCCACCAAGCTTTCCTCTCACCTGTGCATTGTGAATGTTGCCTCTGGCCATCTAGAGAATGGATGGCAGAATGTCATTACTTTCCCCCTTCTCTCCTCACCTTTCCTCAGACCTAGTAAACAAATACGCATTTCCCCAAAATGTGTATTTATACATTTTAGAGATCTTTTTTGAATGGTTGGCGGTAATCCTGGGAAACATTGAATGTTGTGGTTTCAATGGTATGAAAAGGCTCCCGGTTGAGTGAAGCTGGTTTCCGATGGATGAAGGTGCTCACTGGGCTCCCCACGCCCCTCTCTCTGTGTCTGTGTTTGGATCACACATCTGTGATCATCACTCCAGTCGGAATTGGGATCTCTGGACTCTGAACCTACAATCATATGCTTACATCTGTGAGGGAAAATCTACTTGGTGGGAATCTGTAATAGACAGGCTAAGAGATTAAGTCGCTCCCAATCCTATTGCTGCTTCTAAAACTCGCCAGCAGTTTCATTCCTTGGGAAAGGGGGGAGGGGGAGGGATGGCAGATCTTATGCATCAGAACATCCTAATTCAGCTTGTAAATGCTGTTTCTTTTGCATGAGTTGCTGCTAACTCTTTGGAAGGAACTCCCTGGACATTTTGGAATTCACGGGCAAGGTTCATCCCTGCTCCAGTGCTTTCCGGTGGACAGTGAGCCCCCTCGGTGCAGTGAATAATCTGCAGGGTCCTTGGCAAAGCGGGACAATGTAGGCAGAGCTGGTTCATCAGGTCCCACATCCAGTGTTTACAGGGACCTGCCTGGGTGCTTTCTGATGAAGCTACATGTAGGCTCGCCAGTGAAGGACAGACAGACAGTCTCCAACCATCTATGCAAGTGCTTGAAAAATATACACAAAAAGAAATGAAATGATGTTATCTCACCAAAGGATGAGAAAAGTAGCAATTAATCTTCGTGATTGGTATTACCTTTCCCTTGAGTGTCATTCATCACCCCAGGGGCTTCCATAGGAGTGTTTGAGGATGTTTAATTTTGAAATCTGCTTAGTTTAGCTTTATTGTTCATTTTTAGTTTTTAGTTTTCCCTTGCAAGAACAGGATTTTGTGTAGTCTTGGTGGATGTGTTTTGATAAAATCCTAGAACTGGTTTCCTCCTAAAATTGACCTCAACTGTACTTAAAAATGCCACAGGTCAGTCGGAAAAATCTGCTGACACTTCCCACGTTAATAAAAAAAATCTGTTTGCCACCACAGACATGGAGGTATCTTCATCTTCTGTTACCACAGTAGCAAGTACCCCACAAATCACACGCAAAGTGGTTGATACCTGGAGACCTAAACTGACGAGCTCCCGGAAATTTGTAGTTCAAGATGACCCACACACTTCTGATTTTACTGATCCTTTATCAGGTATCCCAAAGGGTAAGGCCTCACCAGGAGACTCATCGCTCACTGAGTGGAAACCTGATTCCTAGTAGCTCTGGAGTCTAGGACTTAGGGCTCTCCAGAGGAGAGCCCGAGGGGCTGCTGCCTGTGTCACCACCGCCTCCGCTGGCCGCAGTCACTTTGGTTTTCTGTGGATATGTTGGAGTGCATTCCTTAAAAGATGAAAGAGGTGGAAAGATGTTAAAGAAAGGGTGGTGAAACGGCCACTCAGACAACCTAATCTGTTGATTTCTGGCTGAAGATGCTGGAGACTTCTAGATATCAGAGAATTTCGAGGGTCATTCAGCCACATCAAAAACCAAAACTCGTTAACTGCAAATACCCAGATATCAGATATTTTTACCTAAGAATCAGTCCCCGTCTTTCATTTAGCTACCGTTCAAAATGCATTATGAAAAGGACCTGTGAGGTGCTAAGTTGCTTGAATGCTACAAGCAGTAAAACACAACAGCCCATCATAGAAGCAGTTATAACATAGCTGCCTATGGAGCAGGCTAAAGAGATATATTACTCCAGAAAAAAGAAAAATCAATTCTTTAGCGCTTACTCATCTTTGGAATCAGGTTTCTAATCAGTTTCTATGACCGTACATTGTCATTTATGATTTATACCTGTTTATTTTGGTTTTATATATTTTCACTGTACACAATTTTATCATCATTCTTTCTGCTTTGTTTTCTTTAGTAGTACCATTTCTGCCTTTATTCTTTGTCTCTCAAAATGCCACTCAATCTCATAACCCTGGACATGATTAAAAATGACTAACATTCCAAGGCCTCGGTACTAACCTAAAGCCACCAAGCCTTCAGAATCACTCTGACCTCCCTTATTCTGGGATAGCTGTGTTTATAGCATGTAACAGACTTGGATACCTCTTAAACTAACATTTCTTTGGTTGACTGTTAGATGTCTGTGGTTGCATTAAAAATCCCAATAATTAAAACTAATTTACTCTTCTTCTAGTCTAACTTAAAGATTTCTAAATATCTCAAGATATTTGAATCATATTACTTAACAAATGCAAAGTATATTTCCTGAGACTGTTTAGATTTCTTTCATAGCAGGCAGTCCAAGAGTGCTTCGCCCCAAAATGGAATGGAAAAAAAAATCAAAGCAAAAACGAATGTCTGTCTTTGTAGCTAACGATGACCAAGCAGATGCTTTTAGTTTGTGAACAAGTTATGGGTTTTTATTCCAGTTAAGGTAGCATAATTATGTTAGCATAATATATATTTATGCCAATTCATTACATGCCCCTAATCCTAGCAGCTGCCTTTGAATCCAGATTTATGAATTAGGAGAAAACCATGAGATAAAACATTTTGTGAGTTTAAAACAGGTCATTTAGAAAATGTACACTTTATAATTCTAATTTTTAGGTAGGAACGCTTAAAATTTCTGTTTTATAACAACTGTTTAAGAGGAGGTGGGGGAAAGAAGACAGAGAATAGAAATCAATGGGAGATTAGAGTTATCCTGGCATTTGCAGCAATCAGGTGTCTCTGGGGATCCCATTGTAGTTAAAGAAAAAAAATATGGAATTTCAGAGTCTACCTCACCCTCCAAGCTAAGCGTAGAGACCATGTGCAGCCAGCGCTGGCTCAATGGAAGCCGTTGCTGGCAGGTCTTGTTTCCAGAGCACCTCACCCAGACTCTTTCCCTGTGTCTATTGCAGGTGTACGATGGGAAGTTCAGTCTGGAGAGTCCAACCAGATGGTCCACATGAATGTCCTCATCACCTGTGTCTTTGCCGCTTTTGTTTTGGGTGCGTTCATTGCAGGGGTGGCTGTGTACTGCTATCGTGATATGTTCGTTCGGAAAAACCGGAAGATCCACAAAGATGCAGAGTCTGCCCAGTCGTGCACAGATTCCAGCGGAAGTTTTGCCAAACTGAATGGTCTCTTTGACAGCCCCGTCAAGGAATATCAGCAGAATATTGATTCTCCCAAATTGTATAGTAACCTGCTGACCAGTCGGAAAGAGCTGCCGCCCACCGGAGATACGAAATCCATGGTCATGGACCATCGAGGCCAACCCCCTGAGCTGGCTGCACTCCCCACGCCTGAGTCCACACCTGTGCTGCACCAGAAGACCCTGCAGGCCATGAAGAGCCACTCAGACAAGGCCCATGGCCATGGAGCTTCAAGGAAAGAAACCCCCCAGTTTTTTCCTTCTAGTCCTCCGCCCCACTCCCCACTAAGTCACGGGCATATCCCCAGTGCCATTGTTCTTCCTAACGCTACCCACGACTACAACACGTCCTTCTCAAACTCCAATGCTCACAAAGCTGAAAAGAAGCTTCAACACATTGACCACCCTCTTACGAAGTCCTCCAGTAAAAGAGATCACCGGCGTTCTGTGGATTCCAGGAATACCCTCAATGATCTCCTGAAGCATCTGAATGATCCAAATAGTAACCCCAAAGCCATCATGGGAGACATCCAGATGGCCCACCAGACCCTAATGCTGGATCCCGTGGGACCTATGTCTGAGGTCCCGCCCAAGGTCCCTAACCGGGAAGCATCGCTCTACTCTCCTCCTTCAACTCTCCCTAGAAATAGCCCAACCAAGCGAGTGGACGTCCCCACCACTCCTGGGGTCCCCATGACCTCTCTGGAAAGACAAAGAGGTTACCACAAAAACTCCTCCCAGAGGCACTCTATATCTGCCATGCCTAAAAACTTAAACTCACCCAATGGTGTTTTGTTATCGAGACAGTCTAGCATGAACCGTGGCGGGTACATGCCCACACCCACAGGGGCGAAGGTGGACTACATTCAGGGCACACCAGTGAGTGTTCACCTGCAGCCTTCCCTCTCCAGACAGAGCAGCTACACCAGTAATGGCACCCTTCCTAGGACGGGGCTAAAGAGGACACCGTCCTTAAAACCTGACGTGCCACCAAAGCCTTCATTTGCTCCTCAAACCACCTCTGTCAGACCACTGAACAAATACACTTACTAGGTCTTCAGTGTGCTGTTCCCCGTGTGGCTTTTTGCTGTCCCCGTTGTTGCGAGGATGATGTTGTAAGGGTACCTTAAGATAAGAGACTCGCTTGTCTTTTAAGAGAACCAAGTGGCCAAAGAAACTCTCCCACTTTGGCAACATCTGAACTTGCCACATGTAGCTACTGCAGCGAGGCTTCTGTGTACTCGCCTGGAAACAAAGGAAGGTGCTGGCCATTCCATTTCTTTTGTTTGAAGCTGAAGAGAAGTATAGCTCCAGCTCCGAGGGGCTACCTTCCCGGGGTAAAGAGCTGATACAGTGTGCAGAAGAATCTGTGAGCAAATACTTGAAAATGGGTTCAACTGAGACTGCCATTATTATGGGTGGTCTTCCCATTCAATGTGAACATTTTAATATGTATGCATTCACCTTGCCTCTTGCACAAATGTCAAAAACAATGGTAATGTCTCAAAGAAACAAACTTGTAGATTACCAAACAATTTGCTAAATATTCAGTCTTTGACCCAAACTGTAGCATTTTTTTTCATGTGGGGCAATTTTTTTCATGCCACCAATGAACTGTGTGTGTGTATGTGTGCGTGTGTGCGCGTGTGTGCGTGTGGGTGCATCCTGTACCCTCTAGGATGTGGTTAGGTGCCCATTGCATCTTTTTGTGCTATGGAGTTGTTTACATTGAGCATGACTGAACAAGAGACAATAACTACTTCCCACAGCAGTCCATTGGGTTCGGCTTTGAGAAATAAATACAATGAAGGCTGATTTGACCATCACTATGATTGACTTACATGGTACCCAATGCCAGAATGTAAGCGTTCTAAGTAATTTTGTGCTGCTATTCATTAAAACTTCTATTACAGTCTTGCCAGCTTAAGGAGAGAGAGATGTGAAGAGGTATCCTTGATTTATCCAACAGTATTCAGTAGTAAAACTTACCTGTCCACTGTGAATCCGAGACTGAGTCACTCTATTTAACCTTTGACACACTAATAAGGTTTTAGTTTGATTGTGTTTGGTTTTTCCCATGTAGTAAAATTTCTCTTCCTTTAACTCCTCCTACCCCCAAGATTTAAAATTGAAAAAAAGAAAAAAAGACAAGAGAGGGAAATGTGAAAAGAATTGTAATTGGCTTAACAGACAGTCTATGAAAACCTAACAGTGGTGCAATCACGTTGTCTATGTTGTGTTGTGTGAGAATTTCCTCCTAAGTCATGCAGGTAATGACGATATACTGTAAATATTACATGTGGTTTACCTGAATCTGTGCATTTTGTGCCTTATTCATGAGAATGATAGAAGTACTAAAATCTGTCAAGTGTTTTCAGTATAGCACATCATTTATTGAGTGCCAGTTGTAAATGTTTTTCAACCAGCACCTGAAGAGACTTTTAAAAAAATCAAATAAACAACCTAGAACCATTAAGCAGTCCACCCCCATTGCAGCGTTATGTCCTTTCCATGATAAACATTCCACTCCTGCTTTGCTAAGGATGAAACAGTGACGCTGTGAAGTCCAATGAGGTTCCCTGGGTCCTGGGACACCTGCGGAGACCATAGAGTCATTGATTCGTAGCTTTGCAGAAGCCACGTACAGTTGTTGATGGGCAATCCGATGGCTGTTTCAGTTACGATGCTGCAAGTCACACGGTGGTTTATTGACCCCAACCTAGATAGTAACAAGGCAGAGGAATGCTCCTGACCAAGTCAGACAAATAAGGTCAGCTGATTTCTTGTGATAATGCTGATGATATACATTTCCTGGGGGAGGATGGGTCAGAAGACCAGAGCATTTTTATACAAGATGTAGAATACTGATACAGTTATGCTTTTCCTTTGAGAATATTGTTTTATAAAGAACACAATCCCCTGAGATCTCTGGAAGCTCAAAAGCTAAAACTTCTGTTCTCGATACACTTCATCTTTGCAACTAAAATATTACAGATTAATAATAAATTAAACCAACCAACGATAAACACTACTCAGTCCACCGCCGACAAACGTGTTTGCGTTCACCTTACCAATATTAATCCTGGCGTGCGGAAAACGGAGCGGTAACTCTGTGTGATTCCCGGTAACATGTTGTAACATTGTGCTGCCTTGTCGTTTGTAATGTGAGTTCTTTCAGTATTTATGTTGAGATTTCTAACATTAAATCTAGTCTCTATCCTGTTAATTTAATTTTTAAATGCTTTATCCATTTGTGCAAAGGTAAACACAGATTGTATCTTTTTTAATGTTACGGCATAAAAAGTAACCCTAAAGTGAAGTGGCTCTATACTGTTTTATAGAGTACTTTAACATGTATAGATATCTTGTAAACTTGTATTGTGGATGTGTAAATAATATGTACTTTGGGTTTTTAACACCGCATGTAAAGTCAAAATAAAATATATAAATCATTATTTCCTGCCTTTTGATATTGGAGAGGTTTAACATCATATTTTCAAAACAGTTTTGAGTCAACACCAGTGAAAGTTTCTTTTTTAAAAAAAATCCACCAAAATATTCTTATCTGGAATGTTTGCTACCCAGTCAGGGTTGCACCAGCCTTCTCTTTTTAGAAGGCTGATACCGATGGGTAGACTCCTGAAACACTGAGAAACGATTTTAAAAACCAGATGAACTGTGTTGCATCAATAGTCAGAAGCTACAGGGCAAACATACTAGTGGCTCACTTGTCCTCATATCTGGTTCAACAGACATTTTTAAAATTCATGAGTTCTATTCCCACATTTTTCAATGTCATTTTAAGTCCAAAATTATAGCTGGTATCTGGGATTCCTGTGAACATTTCCTGCTACTTGATATATGGCATTTCTCAATTCTATTGTTTTAACTGAATAGAACATATTCTTAGATATCTTCCCCAAATATTGAAATGGAAGGTATAGCTATGATTCCATTTAGTTCTTGCCTTAGCATGGAATGAGTTGCTGACTGCTGTCATTGGCTCTGGTGGATGTTGAGGGTGTCACTTCTCTCCTGGGAGAGACAATAAGTGTTTGCAGCAACTGCTCATGGGTCCAGCTGCTGCTCCTGGCTGCAGCCCACCTGTGCCTCCTCCATGGCCACATTTTTCCCAGAGCTCCAGCCGCATCTCTGCAGAAGCAGAAGTTGCTGCCTTCCTGTCTTGGTCCTGGTTCTCGCACGATGTCATCTAATGAGGGTGCTGCATTTCCATGCTAGTTGGTGGTATCAGGGGTCCTTTTTCATTCTTCTTGTGGCACATCCTAGTTTAGATATATGGGGAAGAATGCAGGAATCCTGTACAAGGGCAAGTACCTCGGTTACTGGAGGGCCGATTTGCCCCCCTTTAACGGCTACCACCTGTACAGCTGTGTAGGCAGCAAGACAGCGCCACTAGTCATGGAGCCGACTGGCATTGGGTTCCCTGCCCCATTGCAGGAAGTCAGCCTGTACCCCGCTGCAGTGCCGGGGAAGGGAGGGGAGGGGTCTACCTTTTCACCAACCTGCAGGTGCCCATTTGTAATTCTTAGAATTTAAACAAATGAATGAAGAAAGAGACAAGGGAAATTTATTTTCATCTTGTTTCTTTCTGGACTTCCTGAGCATTACAATCTCATTTACATTCTCTATTTCTATTGAATTGGTGTTTATTGCACCTTGTGGCCATTATGCCAGTTTTCCTGGGCTCTTTGATTTTTCTTTCTCTTCGCCCTTGATAGACAGACTTAACTTTTTTCCATTGTGGACATCTTTGATAATTTAAAGAATGCTACAGACTGAGCAGAATGTCACTTCTCAGGAGATTTACAGACCCCTAAAACTATGATTCTTCAAGGTGTCATTGAAAGAAGGAGTTTTCAAAGGAAGACATTGTAAAGGCGCCCATTAATTAACCAGGACAGACCACCTGTCCTCTAGGTTCAGAAATCCCATTGACCAGGCATTTAGGTTACTCTGGGGGTGGCAATTTTGAAGGCAGATGGAACACTTGAGATGCTGGTGCAGGTGAAGAAGAAAGGGAGTCTCCCATGTAAGGCAGTGTCCCGATGGCCAAGGTGCTGGCCAGGTGCCAGAAGGACCAACCTTTTTCCCTGCCCGTTTCAGCTCATCTTCATCCTCCTTGTCAGAGGAGGGCAAAGAACAAGGTGTCAAAATAAGCCCTGGGTCCAGGTCTGGGAGCTGGATTCTAATCCTGACTCCATCACTCATCAAGCAACTTTGTGGCACTATACCTCTCTCGATTTCAGTTTTCTCATTTTTGAAAAGAGATCGTTTGACATTCATATCTCTGACAGTTTTATGTAACCTGCCAACTCTATAATTCTATTACCTATTTTATGAATGCTATGCTTAAATATTATTCTTTCAATAGCTTGGTTTGTGGGCTTTTTATGGGAGTGTGAGGTCTGTTCCTGTTAGATATGAGATATATGTGAAATTTGTAATAAAATAAGGCATGATAAACAATGCACTTTAAGCCATTTAGCTTCCATCTATATGTGATGTTTACCCTTTCCTGCATATATAACATGCAAAACAAATCTCTGCCAAAGTTGCATTCTTTATCTACTAGATGTGATACTGTAAACAAGGAAGAATTGGACCTATAATAAAACCAGCCTTTAATTCACAGGGGAATAGGGGTGAGGGGATGGGGGAGAGTGGTCAAATCCTGAATATGCAGACCATGAATCAACTGAAATTCACACATAAAGGAAAATAGAATATTTTGGACACTGTCCCATGATATGATTCTCTAGTTTTTAAATTCTTTTGTTGGTTTTTAAAGAAAGAGGGAGAGAGAGAAACATTAACATGAAAGAGAAACATGAATCAGCTGCCTCCTGCACACCCCTATCAGGAAATCGAGCCCACAACCCAGGAATGTGCCCTGACCTTGAATCCAACTGGCAGCCTTTCAGTGCATGGGATGGCACTCAACCAACTGAGCCACACCAGCCAGGGAATGATTTGATATTTTTTAAAATTAGGTATTGATTACTGGTTGATCAATTGATTACTCTGTAACATACAGTTTGGTTCCCCTTAGCCTCTCATGATGGGTTTGAGTGAAAGAAAGTATGAAAACATGACACTTGTCCTATGCACTATTCCTCGTAACTGTTCTTCACGTGTGTGAGATGGACTTGCTGATGCTACTGTAAAGATTGTTAGAGTGGGCAGAAGAGGGAAACTTGTCAGGGTCGAGCAGCCCTGTCCAGTGGGACCGTCTGTGCTGGTGGAAATGTGCTCTTCCTGGACTGTTCATTATGGTAGCCACTAGCATGGATGGCTCTGAGCACTTGGAATGTAGCGAGAGCCACTGAGCTACTGTATATTGGACAGCGCTGGTCTAGAAAGCCACTGCTGCTGCTGCCCTCACTGTCAGGTCAGGCCACTACTCTGAATGCAACAGTTCCATGGGGCATGTAACTGATGAATAGATGAGACATGATTTGGACATTTTGTTTATGTACCCTGTGCCTCACCAACAGCTGGGCTCACAGTTGATCACCAATCAATCACAGATCTAGTTTGAGGTTTTATATGTGTTTTCCTATTTAGAAACTGCGATGAGCACAGTTGGTATCCAAGAGAGGGTCAGCATTTGGGTTGTGTGGACAAGATTTTGCTTCTCTTAGGTTTCTTTTGGAGCTTTTGAGGCCTACTCAGTTAATCCTCAACATGCTTTCCATTGGAAAGGGACAAGCTTTGTCACCCCCATTTTCAAGGTACAGAAACTGAGGTCCATGGGCTGTGACAACTATAGAAATGCAGATGGCAGTCAAGTGAAAACTCAGGGCTAATTCACCTATTCTCACATTCCGGTCCTGTGCACAGTCCAACACATTCCATGAGAGGGGGAAAGGGAATATCAGTGTCCAATCAGAAAGGATGGCCTCTGTCCAGCACTTCATGTATAACGAGGAGAAACAAAAAAGGTGGAATAGTTATAGTATCCAGGGGTATGTGCCAAACATCAGTGAAAAAACGAAACATTCAGTGAGTTAGTCATGTGCTGGGCCATAGTAATGAACATGCCAAATCAATTATTTTTGGGGGGAAAATCTATGGATTGAGTTGATTTGTAAGTTGAAAGCAACCAAAGAGGATGGACTCCGTGATGTTAGAAGAGACTAA